GGGAACCTTGTGTTTTCACAGCGAGCACCTGTTTCGAACACCGGGCATCAATTTTTGATTGTAAAAGTATACAGCATTCTTTGATTTTGCCTTTCCACAAGAAAATACGGCGACGCGTGAGCGAGGCCCCTGCGAAGGCGCGAGGCTCGCCGTTTTTTGCCGGAAGCACCAAGCACATTCGGAAGAAAAATGCTTTACCATCATTGGCTATTCGTTGCCCCATGTAAGTGTTACCTGTGAAATCGCACAGTTCCTTCGCATCTTCTAAAACGTACGGACCTGTTCACAGGGAGCACTTGTTCCGAACAGTGAAAATCTGTGTCTTGATTTTTTTGCAAATAAAAAAGTGAGGCTTTTGTAGATGTACGATCTTTCTTCCATACTATACAGTAGCGCATGAATGCAATCCCTGCGCAGGCACAGGGATCGCCCGCCCCAGTCGCAGTTTTTCCTCGAACGAACCAAACAAACGTATAAGCTAAATTCTTTCACCGCCATGCCATTGGAATTCGTTGCCCCAAACAACTGTTCCTCATGAAAACACATGGGTCCCACATATATATATATATATATGGTTGTCCTGCCCATTCCCGTTTGTTCCGTTTTCTCGGGTTGCTCTGCCTCGCTGGAAATTGTCTCGGAGACTCCTCCTGAAAAAAAAACGACGCTGGAAGATTGAAATTGCCGGATTCGATTTCTTTCGATTTGAAAAATTCGACGAACTCGCGATGACTTACTGCGCTCAACGTGTCGGCCCTTGGACGAATGGGGTTCGCCGCGGGCCAGCGCCGAAATTGCGTCCGAGAGCTCTGCAGAAACGGTTGACGGTGATTGCGAGGACGTGCTACATGAACCGTTGGACGATGGCGCTCTCGCGCGCTCTCTGACGGACGCGTCGACCGCGCCGCGATTCGCGCCCGCGCCAAAGAAGGCGCCGGCCGCGGGCCTGACATGGTGAGCACGTGCATTTTTCTGCGTGAGACTGAGGCGACTCAGCATCGCAAGCGAGGAATGCCTAGAAGGATGCACGCGCGAGGCCTAGGGTCGCAGTGGCTCGAGAAGGAATCGCGCGCGGCTGCGCTGGATGGCTGAGGCCGCAGCATCGGCGTCCAGAATTGCCCCCCACGCTTCTACTTCGCGACGTCCGGGGGTAGAATCGAAGGACGACGCGCCGCTGCGACCCTTGGGGCGCATCGCCAAACGCCGCGGATTTTGATGAACATTTGTCAAGGGGCGCAGACAAGTTGATCTTTCCGATGATAAAGGGGCGATCTCGAGGGTCTCCGGCCCGGGCGCGCCAGGCGTCAATTTGCCACATTTGCTGTCGCTCGCCGTGGATGTGGCGCAGTCAAAAGATATTATCCTTAAGTCGCGCCAGCCCCGACGACTGCGGTTGTCTTCGGGCGCGGTCGCGGCCTCCTGCGACCGGGCTCTTCCGCGCCCTTTCGGGGCGCGAGGGCGACGAGGCGCGGCGGCTGCGCAAGTGCTGCTCTCGCCACAAGCGGGCTGCGTCTTCGACGAACTCAAAATGTCATCCCCCGACAAGCTGTTCACGATAATGGCGCTTCCGATGAGGTGCAACGTGCTTCTCGCGTCACATGCAGAGTGGGCCGCGCCTCAGCAGCCGAGCGACTGGTCGGGGAATTGCCGCTCGCGCCTGGTCGCGCCGCCCGACGCGAAGAGGGGCCGGCTAATCTCGCGCGCTGCGCTGGCGGCGCCTGCTTGCGCCGCGCAGTCCGACGTCTGGGGGCGGGCCCCAAACGAGCGCGGCCGCCGCGCGGCAGCCCCCGCAGCGCGCGCAGTTTCGATGACAAGTGGGGGCGCGATTCCCAGAGGGGGCGCATGGCTTCAGGAGCGCGGCCAGACAATAAATGGCGCTGCTCGCGCGCGCTCCGAAGCCGTGCGTTGGCAGCAACATGCAGAAGGGCGCGGGCATTCCACGGCCTTGAAGATGCGCGGGGGCTTTGTTGACATCTTTGATTCCGCCGTCGGATCGGCCGTCCAGGCGCCCATGCGTGATGTCGCGCGTCGGCTGCGTCGCGATTGGAGAATCTGTATCTTCATGATGCCAAATGTTCCGACGTTTCTCATCTCCCAGCAATGGAGGGGGCAGCCTGCGACGCAAAGGGCCCGGTCGCGGACGCCTGAAATCTTGCCAAAGGGAGACCGTTCATGACCACCCGACGAGGGGCACCAAACAGCGGCCCGCACCACGTCTGCCCGCGCCCAAGCGAGGGACGCGGCGCATGCTGTGCGGCCTGAGAAGCTCGACAAAAAGAAACAAGCTCCTGCCCTTTGGAAGAGTACCCCGTATATCAGGTACGGCATGCAGCAGCACACCAAGCGCAAACTTCGAACAATTGACCAAAAGCATAGAGAATATTGACAACATGGATTGGTCGAGGAGTTGACGGGCGCGGGCTTTTTGAAGAGCTGGGCTGAACAGTTTTGCCCGCCCTGCGGCGCGTGCGGCGTTGGGAAGCCGCGGCGGCGCATGGGCAACGCTTCTCTCAGCTACAAATGCAACGCCAAGGGTTGGCGCAAACATATCCTGCCTCGTGCGAATCGCATGGCCTTTGCTCCTGGGGGTGGCAGGGATTGTGGGCCGTTGGCAGCGTTGGCAAAGCTTTTCCTGGGGCTGACAGATGGCTTGACAGCGCAGTCTGATTGACTGTGGGATCGCGATGACAAGTACGCGCGGCGCTTTACGTCGCGACTGGGCGCTGCTCGTTCTCGTTTCGCGAGGATGCCGGAACCGAACATCCAATTCGGCACTGGTGACAATGAGACGCGGCATGGCGTGGAAACGGACGAAGTTGCTTTGAGCAAAGAGGTTGTGCGCACTGTGGGAGGCAAGCGGGCGAAATAGCATCAGCGGGGAGGGATTGCGCAGAGAGGTGCGCCGTCTTCGCGGGCGATGTGCAGAGTGTCGCCGAAGACCGCGAAGGTGAGATCGCCAGGCCCTGGGCCAATCACAAAGAAAGATTGAAAACCTCAGGCGGTGAAGTGGTCAAGGGGCCGCTGCGTTGTTCTGCGCGCCGATGGCGCCGTTCCTACGAGATGGGTGCCAGCAAAAGGGGGGACCATTGACGGTATTGTCCACGACTTCGTGGTGCACTAGTAAGATCAATGACAAGCGGGTGCGGCCAATCTGTGTATACCTGCTCCGCCACCACATGCCCAACGGAGAAATGATTCGTACAAAGGATGGCACGCAGATCATTGACGCAATCTGGCGCCATGTACGTGATAAAATGGGGAGCAGGTCCGCTGGGGTTAACCAGCGCTCGGAGGATAACCGCGCTCGCTCTGCCCAGCGGGTGTTCTGGAACACAGGGCAGGATCTGTGGTCAAAAGCTGGCCCCATGTTTGCTGAGTTGAACTCTAAGCTTTCGGTCCGCTCGTCGCTGCCGCACTCTTGTTTCTGTCAGGCCTCGTATCTGTCGCGGGCTGTACCCGCTGCACAAAGCATGTGGTCAACGCGCCCGCGTCCTCATCACACAAACGTCATGCGCGCAAATCCTCGTCTGCACTGCACGTCATCATTACCCCCCACACACACCAATCCGATGCAGCAGCGGTATCAAAACAGATATCCGAAAACAACAGAGGACGACAGTCAAGCAATGATCACACGACTGACACAAGACGCTGTCACGTAGCATTTGTTGAAATAGTGACTAACGGGGGTCTTGGGAGCCCCCCCCCATTATCGTATAGCTGTATACATAAATTTGTAAATGTCTAGGTCTGTGTGCTTGTTTGTTTGTATGTATGTGTATGTGCATGTAGATGTATACGTATAGGAATATAACATCGATCTGTTGATGTATACCCGAGGAAGGCGCGGTGACGGCGGGGGGCGGGGGGGGGGGGCAGGAAGGGGCATAGACAGGGACGGCGGCTCGGACCTCCGCCGCCGTGCTGCTCTGCAGTGCTCGGGGGCCCTGGGGCTCTCGACTCTCGACGCCCAGGCCGGCTCCTCGCCGCGTCCTGCCTGCCGCGGGCCCCCATGGCCCGAGCGCAGCCCCACAGGTGCCGAGATGCCCCCCAAACAACTCCCAAACAGCGCTTGCACCCAGGAGGCCTCGTGCGTTCTCCCAGCATCAGGTCTGGCGCGGCGCGGGCTCCTCGTGGCCATCGAGTCCCGCCCGTGGAGTCCCGCGCGCGGCCTGCGCCGCGGGTGGCGCTGACTTCCCGCGGCCACGGGGTCCCGCACGCGCGGTTCGGCCCAGGAGGGCGTCCCGCCAAGGCCCTCGCGGTCACAGGCTCCCGCCCACGGGGCCCCGCCCACGAGGTGCCGCCATGGCTGTGCTGAGTTTTTGGGGGCCATGGGCAGGCTGTGTCCACGGGTTGCAGTCGTGATTTGTTTGCGCCCACATGGCATAACTGTGACTTGCTTCTCATTCCCCTGCATCGCGTGGCTTGTATTGCATCGCGCTGCGTCTGCGATGACTTGCATGGCAATGCTCGTGTTGCACTGCCGTGTTTTGCTGTGCGTTGCTGTGCTCTGCTGTGCTTTGCTGTGCGTTGCTGTGCTCTGGTTTGCGCTGCACCACATCCCCTGCACCAAACCGTTCACTGTTTGAGGTCCATGCTGTAACCGTTACGAGTACACGGGCAGATGGTGTGAGCTTCGCGGCGCTGGAGGTCTGAGTCCAGAAGCCCGGGGCGAGGAGAGGGGAGGCATGCATCGGCACCACCGCCACCGTGGGGAGGGATGAACTCCTGGCTGGAACCTTCCAGCCGCTCCGTCGCGCGCTCTACCTACAGCCTACATACACATGGACCAAGGAGAAAGGAGGGGGAGGAGGACAAGAAGGGAGGAGGAGGAGGAGGAGGAGGAAGAGGAGGAGGAGGAGGAGGAGGAGGAGGACGAGAAGGGAGGAGGAGGAGGAGGAGGAGGAGGAGGAGGAGGAGGAGGAGGAGGAGGAGGGGGAGTAGGAGGAGGAGAAGGACGACGACGAGAAGGGAGGAGGAGGTCCCAGGGAGGGAGGCGCCTACGCAAAGGGGTCTGCGAGGCCCAGGTCCGCCAGGAGGCCCACCGTGTGCCTGGCCCAGAAGTTCGCGCAGTTGACGTGCCACAGGCCGCCCTTCCAGAGCGACGAGACAGCGCCCCCGTCCTCCGAGGAGCCGGCGCCGAGGCCGCCCATGGGCATCGCGGGCAGCAGGCACAGCGCGCACAGGGGCGCGGAGCGCGCCTGGCCGGCCCCGGGGCCGCCCCCCACCTCGAAGCACTCGTCCGGCTCCCAGGCCGCCAGCGTGACCCGCAGCCCCGCGAGCTCCGCCTCCAGCCGCGCCCACGCGGACCGGGCCTCGCCGAGGCGCTGGGCCGCGCCCGCGTGGAGCTCGCGCAGCTTCGCCGCGTCCGCCGCGGCGACGTCGCCGTCGTCCACCGCGGCGGCGTCGCCGCCCGGCAGGAAGAGCTCCGCCGCCAGGCCCAGCCGCCAGAGAATGCGCCGCGCAGCGCCGAGCCCCTGGAGCAGGCCCTTGAACTCGTCGGAGCCCGCAGCCTCGTGGGGAAACCAGAAGGTGCCTATGCCGCTGCTCCCCGGACCTCTCCCGGAGCGCCTGCTGACCAGGATTCCGATGCGCATATCCAGCGGTGGCGACGATCAGCGGGCGAAGAGGGGTATGAAATATGTGTTTCCGCCGTCGGGGGCGCCTGCCCCTGGGCGGCTGGAAAGTTTATACCCCCTGGGGCAGGCGCCCCCGACGGCGGAAAAGTTGATGTTATATCGTTCTTCGCCCGTGAAGACGAGGGCCTCCCACGCGAGGGCGAGAACGAGGGGGAGCACGGGCGAGGGGCAGCGGTACGGGCACCCCTCCCAGACATGCGACGTCCTGATGTTTTCACGGCGGCATCCCTGGAAGTCCGGGCCCTCTTTCCCCAGGACTGTTTTTTTTCGCCCTGCGCCGCTTCTTGACGGCCTCGCGAGGCCCGGCGAGGGCCCCCAAAAGCGGCCGAAGATGGCCCGACGCCTCCCGTCCAGAGTTCTGCTTCTGCGACGCGAGCACCTTCTGGGAACCCCTCCTCCGAGCCTCCTCCCGCTCCTCGTCCGACCACTCCGGGCCCGAGAGCTCCCGCAGATGCTCCGTGCACGCGCCGAGGAGCCGGGCCACCGCGCGCAGGCACGCGGTCAGCGCCTCCAGCGTCCGGCGCGCGCTGCCGGAGCTCGCGGCCTCCACGGCCCGCGACATCTGCTCGGCCCGCCGCTTCCGCAGCAGCAAGCCTGGGATGTTCGGACCCAGACATGATCCCAAAGATCCAACGTCTTGAGAAAACCCAGACGGAGACTGTCGCCGATTTCGACCTCTGGAGGCCCTCGCCGGGCCCCGGGACCGTCAAAAAACGACGCAGGGTGAAAAACCGGTCCTGGGGAACGAACGGGTCGAGACCTCCGGTGACCCCGTATTGAAAAAAAACGACGTCGAATCTCTGGGATTCCGACCCAGACATCATCGCGTCGGACAAAAAATCAGGACGGGCGGTTTTTCGCTATCTTCGGCCTCCGGAAGCCTTTGCTGGGCCTCGGGAGTGGCAAGAAACGACACGGGATGAAAAAGCGGTCCCAGGGAAAGGGTGCAGACCTCGGGGGTTCGACGTTGTGACAAAAATCACGACGTCACAACGTCGGTGGTCTGGGGATTCGGATGCCCAAAATGGTTACGGTGGGGACATTGGATCAGAAAGCATTGGATGAGGAATCCAGGGTCTGAAAGCCAGCGGAACTCCAATCGCGGATTGTCAGTGGATATTACCGCCGCCCTCATCAGATAAAGAACCCTCCAGGGTCTGAAGCCTCCTTGGCACGTTCCTTAACGAACGCCCGCACCGTACGGCAACAGTTAGTACGATGCCCAACAAGCAGCGACGAGCGAGGGGGGGAAGTGAGAAGGAGAAGGCCTTCTCAGAAGGCGGCGGGGCTTCTCAGAAGCCATCGCGCCTTCTGAGAGCTTTTTGTTGCGTCGTCGGACTTCCCCCCGCCGCCGAAACAACGCACGTTGTCCACAACCGACAGCGGCCGCTGTTGGGCAGGCGGCCTGCTGCGTCAGACAGATGGACGATGGGCAACGTCCGCGGACGGCGAACCCTGTTCAAAACGAGCAGGACTTGCTGCTGGGCATCGCACCCATTCTTTCCGCACCCCATATTTCGATCGCCCCGACCGGAGAGGCCAAAAGGTGCCGACGGCGCTATATACTCCCCAGACGTCTCCTGGGGTGCAGCCCGACCTGGCCTTCGAGCCCCCGGCCGTGGCGGCGAGGGCTCTCTGGGACGCGCAGCGGCCTCGGCACCTGCCCGTCCCCTGGGAACCGGGCAGCTCGGAGAGGCTCTTCGGCGGCCCTGCCGGGGGGCAGCACCGGCCGAAGTTCCGCACGGCGACGGCGAGGGCCGCCCGGCCGAAGGAGTCGTCCATGCAGCGGCACCGCTGCTCCAGCCGCTCGGCGGTGCCGCGGAGGCTGGAGTCGCGGGCCCCGTTGGCCACGTGGTCTCGCCAGGAGGCGACTTCCGTCTCCGGGGCGAGCTCGGCCTGGGCGGGGAGGCCCCCCACAGCTGCTGCGGCGTTCCAGCAGCAGTGCTCGTGTGCTCGTGAGCTCCACGGATGCACCCAGCGCGAAGACTTCGGGGGGCGACCCCCAAGCCAGTCTGTGGAGGAAGCCGGAACAATCCAAAGAACTCTGGGGCCTCAACTTTCATCCGTCAGACTGCGTATGCCACTTTCTTCCGTTTCGCCTTGTCTCCTGCTCGCTCGAAGGGGAGAAATCGAGCTGGCGCGCCGCCGCGCTTTCCAACGCTGCCGACGCCCTTGGTATTGCTATTGTTCCCACCTCTGCAGCAACACTAGCATTTGACGAAGTAGCCACGGCTACTGCAGCTTGCGTTCACTGTAACGGTTCATTCGTCTTATTGACCTATTCGCTTGACCCCTCAATCCTCATCCCTGCTGCACTCTTTTGCATCTGATCTCAGAGAACCCCTGCTTTTGGCAATGGCATCGCCGCCCGGCCTTGATCGCTGTGATCTCGGACTTTATCTGGATTGCTGCCTTGGGGCGACATGCTGTATGCCATAGCAGAGTTCTGGACAGCATCAAACTAACACCACTGGGGTGACGGTAGGGGCAACGGCGGAACCCAGCACGAGATGGACTCCACTGATGCTTGTGTTGGCGGAGAATGAAGTGGAGCAGACGGACACGGGCAGAGGAGGAGAGGACGCGGCGAATACAGAACAATACGGTGGGGGCATTGGATAAGGAAACCTTCGATAAGGAATCCAGGGTCTGGAAGCCAGTGGAACTCCAATCGTGGATTGGCCATGGATATCACCAACGCCCTCATCAGATAAGGAACCCTCCAGGGTCTGAAGCCTCCTGGACACATCCCTTAACCAATGCCCCCACGGTGCCACGCTATAGTGCGCCTGGCGAACCTGAAGGGCTTACCAGCCGAACCCTTCTCCCCGTTCCAAGGCTAGCGCTGCTGATTATCACCACCACCACCGACATCATCATCATCATCATCATCATCATCATCATCATCATCAGCAGCAGCAGCAGCAGCAGCAGCATCATCATCAACAACATCATCATCAACATCATCATCATAACCATCATCAGCATCATCATCAGCATCACCAGCATCATCATCGTTATCACCATCATCATCACCATAAGCATCAACACCATCATCATCAGCATCATCATCATCATCATCATCATCAGTATCAACATCAACCGCATCCTCATCAGTGTCAACATAAACATCATCAGTAGCACCATCATCAACATCAACAACAACATCATCATCAACGGCATCCGTCACCACCTCCTGCTCATCATCATGACTCTAAACGTTTCATGTATATATATATGTATGTGTCCACATTATCTATACATATGTGTGTATCCGTCACATGACCTTGTGCTCATTGGGCGTGTTAGCATGCTTGCTGCTGCCTCGAAGGTTTCTTTAGTTTTCCAGCCCCCTCCCGCCCCCCCCTCCGCATCACGCGCACCTGCCGACCCCCACCTGAACTAGCTCTCCTGCGCTCTTTTCGGCCTCAATGCGGGTAAGATGCCTCCAACACGGCTTCCAAGGAGATGGCACCTAGACGGCCCAAGATGGCCCAAGACGGCTCAATGGGCTCTCAAGACGGCCTCAAGACAGCTCAAGAGGCCCCCAAGACGGCCTAACAGGGCTCCAGGCGGCCCTCCAGGAGTGCCCGAGGAAGCAGCACACTTGGATTCTTCAGATGTTGAAAACATGTGAGGTTCTCGCCTGTTTTGGTTTTTGACCGCCCAAGACGGCCCGAGAGGCTTCCAAGATAACTCCAAGACAGCCCATGAGGCCCCCAAGAGGGCCCCGAGTCGACCCAAGAGGACCCCAAGATCGCCCAAGAGCCTCCCAAGAAGGTCCCACTACGGCCCTAAGGCGCTTCAAGCGGACACCACGACGGCCTAGGGAAGCCCCCAAGACGGCCCCTGAAGGCGTCAAACAAGCCAAAAGGCCCTCTAAGACGGCCCAAGCGGAACCAAAAGGCCCCCAAAATGTCAAAGGAGGCCGTCAAAGGTCCTCAGGAGGTTGCCAGGAGGCCCCAACAAGCGGGTCTCAAAAGGCCTCCTTGTTCTACTTCTCCTCCTCCTCCTCCTCAACCTCCTCCGCCTCCGCCTCCTCCTTCTCCTCCTCCTCCTCCTCAGCCTCCTCCTCCATTCCGCGCAGGCGAACGCGAGGTCGAGATCACGACCCACCTCAATTCAAGCCACTCACTGAACTGCCGCGGACCGTGAATTCGACCGCCCCTCCCCCCTACCGCGCGGACCGGGTCAGAGTCGAGATCACGACCCCCCTCAACTCAGACAAACTATTGAACCGCATTGGGCCGTGAACGCGACCTCATTCGTACCACGCTGGCGAAAACGAGATCCATGTCACGACCCGTTCTGGTTCAGACCATTCGCTGAGGTTCAGAGGAGCGCGAAAACGCCCTATGTCCTACATTGTGGACGAAGACGAGGTCGAGTGCACGACCCTTCTAAGTTCTGACGGATCGCTAAACTGCAGCAGAGCGTGGCTTCGACCTCTTTCCCACCGCGCGGCCGAAGGCGAAGTTGAATTCACGACCCACCCCAATTCAAACCACTCGTCGGGATTGCTCCGTTCCTTCACTCAGCATCACTCGTGCTGCGTTGTTGCACAGGCGCGGTGGCTGGGTGTGCCAAAGGCAAGTGGAAACACAGATGTGTGTAGAAAGATAAGTAGGTTGCATAGTTACGAGAGTATGTATATATGCAGAAGATACGTACACCTGCATACACACATACATCGTCATATACATATACAGGTGAAAGAGCATATGCATTCACATACACATGTACATCTACAACAACACATACATGCACATAGACACATACATATGCATATACGCATGCTTAAATTATATATACATATACATACACACGTGCACATACATATACAGGTACATGTGCGTTCGCCCCCCTTCCCTGTGATCATACCATGTGCCTTGTCTTCGATGTGTTCTCTCGCGTGGTCCCAGTCCCTCTCTACCCTAGGGGGGGATGGCGAGGAGGAGGGGGAAGAGGAGAAGGAATAACTAGATACTATGAATGAGAAGGATGGGGACCTGGATAAAACGAGTGCGGTCCCGACAATGATGAAAATGATGATGGCGATGACGATGGTGCTGATGAGGGGGGGATCCTTAATACGGAATCCTTCAGAAGGAATCCGTGTTAAGGGATCTTGAAAAAGGGGTCCTTACTCAGGAACCTTTACACAAGGAATCCTGCATGAGGACTCTTAACTAAGGAACCCTTTACAAAGGAATATTTGCCAAGGAATCCTTGCTAAGGAATCTTCACGAAGGAATCTTTAATAAGAGATCTTTACCGAAGAGCCCTTGATAAGGACCCTTAACTGAAAAATCCGTGATAGAGAATCGTAGATAAGGAGCCCTTTTTAAAAAGGAACCCTAAAGTAAAATACCCTTTTTCAAAACGTAGATTGAATCAGAAATCCTTGCTACGGAATCCCGCGTAAGGAATATGTCATAAGAAATTGTCGAGGTATCAGTCAGAAGGGATCCAAACTACGGAAGTATTATTTTCAATATATATATATATACACACAGGCACCCTTAATAAAGAACCGTTGCTACGGCAATCTTAAGAAAAAAAGGTTCTTAATAAGGAATCCTTAATACGGGATGCTGAGTAAGGAATTCCGAGGCAGGAATCTGAACTAAGGAATCTCTAATGAGGAATATTTGCTAGAACATCCGTCATAAGGAATCGTGACTGAGGAATATTGGCGAAGGAATCCTTTATAAGGAATATGTACTTAATAATCCGTACTAAAGACATTTAGCACGGCACTCCTAATAAGGAACCTGAAATAAGGAATTCTTAACAAGGAACATTTAATACTGACTCCTTCATAATGAATCAAAACTAAGGAACCCTGAGCAAGGCATCCTTAATAAGGAATCCTTTGTTATACGGAACGCTCAACAAGTGGCACGCGTGCCCTGGCTCTTGCACAGTCAGACAACGGAGGACGGGGGGAGGAGGCCGAGCCACGAACCACCAACATAAAGGGTTCCGCGACCCAGGGGAGCTGCCCTGGGAGGCCCCGGGGCCAGGGGGGAGGCCAGGGGAAGAGGACGAACCAGGGGAGGAGGACGAACCACGAACCACGAAAACAAGTGGCACGCGTGCCCTGGCTCTTGCACAAAGGTGTCCGAGGCTCAGGGGGGCTGCCCTGGGAAGCCTGGGCGAGGGGGGGGGGCGAGGGGGACGGGGGGGGGGCGAGGGGGACGAACGACACGACGAACGACGAAAATAAAGGGTTCCGTGGCCCAGGGGGGCTACCCTGGGAAGCGTGGACAGGGGGGGGGCGAGGGGGACGAACGACACGACGAACGACGAAAATAAAGATGTCCGAGCTCTAGAGCACAGCTGTGCAAGAGAATAAAGGTGTCCGAGGCCCAGGGGGGCTGCCCTGGGAAGCGTGGACGGGGGGGGGGCCGGGGGGGCCAGGGAGGCTGGCCCTGGGGAGCCTGGACGGATGAAGGCCGGGGGGGGGTCAGGGGGACGAACGAGACGACACGACACGAAAATAAAGGTGTCCGAGGCCAAGGGGGGGGCTGCCCTGGGAAAGCTGGGCCGGGGGGGGGGGCCGGGGGACGAACGACACGACACGACACGAAGATAAAGGTGTCCGAGGTGCAAGAGAATAAAGGTGTCCGAGGCCCAGGGGGGCTGCCCTGGGAAGCGTGGACGGGGGGGGGGCCGGGGGGGCCAGGGAGGCTGGCCCTGGGGAGCCTGGACGGATGAAGGCCGGGGGGGGGTCAGGGGGACGAACGAGACGACACGACACGAAAATAAAGGTGTCCGAGGCCAAGGGGGGGGCTGCCCTGGGAAAGCTGGGCCGGGGGGGGGGCCGGGGGACGAACGACACGACACGACACGAAGATAAAGGTGTCCGAGGCCCAGGGGGGCTGCCCTGGGAAGCCTGGACGGGGGGAGGGCCGGAGGAAAGGCAGGGGGACGAACGACACGACACGACACGAAAATAAAGGTGTCCGAGGCCCAGGGGGGGGCTGCCCTGGGAAGCCCGGAGGGGGGGGGGGCAGGGGGGGGGCAGGGGGACGAACGACACGACACGACACGACACGAAAATAAAGGTGTCCGAGGCCCAGGGGGGGGCTGCCCTGGGAAGCCTGGAGGAGGCGGGGCAGGGGGACGAACGACACGACACGACACGACACGAAAACAAGTGGCACGCGTGCCCTAGCTCTTGCACCAAGGAGCTGAGAGGGACAGGAGGCATTCGCCTCCTTCCTCCAGGAGTTTCCTTCTGTGGCCGGGGGGTGGGGGGGGAGGACGAATGACGAACGAACGAACGAACGACGACGAAAATAAAGAGGTCCGAGCTCTAGAGCACAGCTGTGCAAGATAATAAAGGCTTCGGCGGCCCAGGGGGGCTGCCCTGGGAGGCCCGTGGGCAGGAGGGGTCCAGGGCCCAG